CCCATGTCCCCACTCAATTCCCTGGGATTATACAGATAAGTGTACACAAATTTGGCTAACAGTACAAGGAAAAGACAAGGAAAGAACATATTCAACCTCAGAAAACTTGTTACATATATAGACGGCAGCAGGCTGCTTTACTTTTTAATGCAGCTGTCTTCCTTGGCCAGATGACGGTAAAGGAAATAACTTCTCTCTGGACACAAACTGCTGTACACTCCTTGGCAAGGACTTACAATCTTTAAACAAAGCCTAAATTACTACACACTACTGCTCATAAGGAAATACAGACTGCTGAAAATTCTTCTTTACCAGCTTGAAGCAGTGTGTAGAAAGAGAACAGGTCTGTCAAATAACATGAGTAAAGAGTAGGACGCTTGGTGTTAAGACAAACCAGGACACGCTGGAAGAATGTTTGATCATCTTTCTCTTTCATAGTCTTCTCAGATTTGTCACCCAATTTTATCACTTTCTGCATCAGAATGTTGACAGCCCAGCCCACCAAAAGCATGAAGTAAAATATGTTAGCTTAAATGTGTTACAAACATGTTTTGTTTAACATCTACAGTGTCATAAGAGCACAAACCGTATGGTAGCACAGCACAGCAGATAAACAGTAACTCATCAATTCAGTTCCATGAAACCTTCTACAGTAGAAAAGGATCTAGAAAAAGTGGGTTTGGGAATTCTTGGTGTTCAAGAATAATTCACACTTCATTAGTCTGTTTCTGACCAAAGAGAGCATCCCTTTTTTTCTTTTTATCAGTAATTCCTAAGCAGGAAATTGCTGCATTTAGAGAACATCATTTTATAGGTAAGTTAACTTTAATATTCAACAGGCATAACAGAGGCCTTCTCAGTTCAGGTCAGGCTGATCTATGCACTACAATTCCAGGAAAGTGCCTCTTCTGAGACAAACAGCTACCGACCTGTACAAGCCTACTCCTTCTGGAGCTAATTAAACACCCCTCAAAAAAATCACTCTTCAGATTTTTACCATGCGTCCTTTTCCACAAATGACCCTTATGTCCTTAGTCTCAGTATCTAGGTTTCTGAGGCTTCAGTAAACCATTCTGCCCTTCATAGATTTGTATGGCTTTATTACCTCACACAGTACAACAAAGGGACCTCTAGCCAGTGTGCCACTGAGTTGCCAAGTTTTAATTTAAGTTTGCTATCCTCCCGGAAAATAAATATCCTGACCACTTTTCCCAGACCTCCTCCTCAAGCCTGTTCATCGCCTCACTGTCCTCTTTCTCTTCAGGAGAGCTCTCACACACGCCCAGATACACTCCTCCTGAAGATTTTCTGACATGATTACAGCTTTCCCTTAGGTCTCCAAGCTAGTCTGGCTTTCCATTTTCTGCTTCTACTTGTTTCATGAGTATAAAAGTTACTCCATCCAAGGGCCATGCAGAAGATAAAGAATTCCACCAAATAATTTTCTATAGAGAATTTTTTAAAATTCAATTTTGGAAAGCTACACTAGTCTTCCAGCAGAATTCAAAGCTTAAAAATGCATTTCAGAAAAGGAAGAGGAAGAAGAAAAGTAGTATTAGCATTTTTTTTAGAATTCTGTAAAACTTTTTATTTTTTGAATTTGAGCTCCTGGAATGGAAGATCAAAAACATTGACAGTTGGAGGATCATTCCTGATAGAGACAAAATTAAAGGAGAAATAAAACATTACTAACAAAAATTACCAAATACCATATACATTTCATGTTGAATTTTTGACTTAAGAGGGGCAGAAATTGGATCTACTGGGTGAAAAACAAGGGTCAAAAGAACCTTGTGAAGAGTATTACTGACTTCAGTGAGATCATATGAAAGATTAAGCTGGTCACAGGTGTAAAATCCACAGGATTTAGTCTCTACAAATGTAGTGCTGAGTCCTAAGATAGAACATTATCCTGGAAAATGACACAAGACTGATTCAACAGTAAAGCAAAAACTCAGAAAATTAAAGTATGAAAAAGAATTTTCTATATCACTACAAAAATGAACTCCGTTGTGCAAAACTTCATGATTAAGTGAACCATCAATGGTGAACTAAAACGGCAAAAGAATGGAGTTTTCATACAAATTGTCCTAAAGTGAAAGAAATCTCCAGATGTGACTACCAGGAAAAGTATGCTTTGTTAGTAACTAGTAAAAGATGATAACTCATATTTCCAGACATATTCAAAACTATCTGTAGCCAATCTTGTTAGTGTCTGAGAGATCCACGAGCAAATCTCGTGTCTGGGACACTAAACATGTCTCCATGCAAGCAGGTCAGCAGAAAATTGGTATGAAAATCTCAGTAGCTCCCATGCAAATTTAACTGCAAAAGAGATTTCCAGATCTCTACTATTCATTTAACCTTCTCCAGCTGCCAAGTAATGCATTTACTGTCAGTTATTTTCTAACCTAAACGCATCTCAATATAATCATACATGTAATTAATGTTATCTGAAATACAGCTGTATTTCTAAACATAAAATCAGACTTCTCAATTACTTAAAAAAGTTATTCTACTGAGTAACTATTTGAATTGATACCTTCCAGACTTATAAATTAGATATTTTACTGATAAATAGGCCACAGATTGTCACAATTCATGCACATTCTGAATAAGCAATTTCTATTTTGCATTTGAACTTATGTGGTGATTGACAGATGTTAATGGTTTCTCCATGGCAATTCTAAATGGCTTCAGTGACAAGAGATTTCCGGATCATTTTCAGTAACACAGACTTAAAGAATTATTCAGTTTGTGGGGACCACAGGAGATCATCTCATTCAACTGCCTACAGAAAGTAAGGCCAACACTGAACTCAGACCAGGTTGCTCAGGGCTTTTTCCATTGTAGTCTAGTTAATTTCCCCCCCTCCTCCCAAAGCTACCTCTCAGTATATTCACAGGGTGACCACATCAAACTGTTACTTCAAAACTGTAGACAAAGATGGAAACCAGAAGAGATCTCAGTAGTAAAACACAAATTATATTTCATCAAATGCAAATTACATTTTTGTTCATTTTTCCATCAAACCCCTTACATCATTGACTTATAGACTATATGTTTAAATGGCTGTATAAATCAGATTAGTAGCCTTATATTTATAAAAGACACTGTATACCTAGATCTCTACTGGAAACCAAATCAATTCCACCATATTTTGTATTTTGCTCATATCCTATATTAAGCAAATGGATTCTAAACATCAGTTTCTGGAGATACATCACTGTAGAACTTTAATACTAATATCGCATTTGCTTCAATATAAAAAAAGAAAACAGAAAAAATCAAATCAAACCAGAACAAAGTTTTGATAACCTGGACAATTACTCCCTGTCTTTCAGTATAATTAAAATATTTATTGCCATCCATGCAGCACAAAGAACAAAACAACAAAATAGCTACACACGGTACCACTTGTAGTATAATGTGTACTAAATGACTGGATTTACCTTTTACTACAGAAAAGCTGAGAGAGTCCTAAGGACAGAAGACAAATATGCATAATAAGAGAAAACGGTAGCTATGCATGCTGATGTAAAAGTCATTATTCTGTCCTGAAAAAATAACCTGCTGCACAGTATATTGGCTCAGAGCTGCTTCTTCTCTGCTTTGCTTTTTTTTTTTTAAGCAGCTCATTGGGTTCTGCTAAAACTACCAATGAGTGAACCAATTTGCTAGAGCGCACATTGATGGTTTTGTCACACAGCTTGTAGAAAGATGAAACCCACACTCAGCTACACAAAAGCCACCAAAAACCAGCAGATGGCAACAGCCTCCCCCATTTGCTTTTATTCTGCTTCAAAGACACTTCGAAAAGAGATGATTTACCATTTACAGATTTGAAAGAAAAGACTCGCACCCTCTTTTAACTTAGATTCAGAGTGCTCTGCTCTGCATTACACTTAAAAACGGTAATATCCTTTAATGTATATTTCCTAAAATGGATTGAAATTCAATTAATACTTGTGGTGAGTAAAAAACTTTTCCCTGTATAAGTTTTGCACAACAAATGAAAGAAAGGTAGAAACACTGAGAGGCTAAAACTGAGAATCAACTTGAAAATAGAGCTCTAAGATAAATCCAACACTTCTATCTGATTTTCCATCTCCAGCTTTCATGGCGATCATTTATAAATCACTACAGAGTAGCACACGATGAAAGGAACCGTGCCCCCCATCAGTAAACACATAACGATTATCCATCCAGGTTTTTTTCCTCCTTTTCTGGAAGAACATTTATGCAAGTGAGAGTTATAATAATGGTTGGAACAAACTGCCTCATGGACAGGTGCTGGGCAAGCAACCACTGAACTGAAGTGCTGCCAATACACCTCACTTCTGGCTGGATGTCTCCATTGCAGAAAGCTCAGCCATAATATTCAAATTTCACTCATCAGCCACTTCCCTTTTTTCACCCCTTAATCTTTTCCCGGCCAGTGTTTCCCTTTGAATGCAATGGGGCTTTGTGTAGAGCTTAGTCAGAAACCAATATAATTCTTAGCTGTATTCATTCAAACTTTAGATCATACAAAAATAGTATAAATTTAAAATCCCAAACGAGTAGTAGCCATAGGTATAAAACTCTTCCAGTGCTGGAGATTCTAGTTGCCTAATATAAAGTTTTTCTTTCAAGCCATGGGATTATTTTTTGATTCCTTTGTGGGTTTCTTTTTTACCCTCTACAGTCTTCCCATTTTACTTCTTAGCTTCTCCTCCTGCCCTCTCCCCTGCTTTTAAATACAACTTTGTGCTAACTCCTATATTGCCAAGGCCAAGTAAATATATTTTGGTTCAGCAATTCACAAAGGAAAAAAAAAAAAAACAACACTCTCAGAAAGCATTTCAAGGTGCTTATTATACAGAAGGACTATGTTTACAGATTTTACGTATTTGCATTTCAGCTATAATCCTTCAAACGAGCAGTTTCTGCACATTCCTTGCTATTTGGTAAGGTGTTCCTGAAATCATTAGCTTCAAAATCTTCCCATAGAACCATACCTATGGGAAAGTTTGCAAGCTGGTTCAAATCCACAGGTCTTGCTTCTCAGGAAAGAGCTGTTCAAGAAAAGGGATTCTGGTCCTTGAACTTCAGAGTCATTTGCATTAAAGAGCTGTTACATAAAAAAAAAAAAAAAAGATAGCAGTAGAAACAGGAACCAGAAAACAAGGAAAAAGAAATAGCAGAGATTTCTTCTTCACTGGGGTCCATGTTCAAATTTCCTCTTGCTAGCTATCCCGCTGGACCACATAACCCTGCGTTTCTGTCTTTCCAGTGGCACAGAAGAACCTCAGTTTACAGTAGAACAATTGCTGAGGAGTTAATCTTGGATGTGACCTAACTTGGCAGTTATGGCACTTTCCTAAAGGATAGATTTGAAACCTCTCAGGCTGAGGAGAGACTAGATTTTAAGTCATTTACTATCTCGGAAACCTTTTAGCCTCTAGGCTATGTGCAGAGATCTATACTCTCTCACCAATTGATTTTGGCTTTCTGCAGCAATTAGCAGAGCTAAAGGGTAGAACTTTGAGTTACTGTCTGAAGTTTGTGCATCACAGTTCCTCCCACATGCCATTTCAAGAAGAAAGTAGCAATTTCAACGCTAAGTGATTTACGTTCAGTTAAAGAGGAAGTACGTAGGAGGTCAAGCTAGTGAACATCGGCATACATTACACTGGCTGATGCCCTAACAAACGAGCCATCATCCATTCACTTTCTCATCCTTTGCCCTTGTTCTTGAAACATAACACTACTCCTAAACCATTTTCGTGTATTAAAAAAAAAAAAAAAAAAAGCTTTTAACCACTGTATTGAACTGATTGTGCGATATTCTACAAATTTCAGTATGAAAGGCTTTGTGCCCTGAAGCACATTTTCGGAGTCAGACCAGTCTTGCTCACATCCATGGCTAATGTTTACTTTAGATCTGTTGATTCTGTCCCTCTGACTAGCAACCTATTTCCTGACCCTGGTTACCTTAAAGTCTTGATTTGTAGTATAATTGCAACTAAGCCTCTTGACGTTACTGGTTAAACTCTAGGACTTTTTTCCACTAAAATGTGTTCCAACAGCTAAACTACAGAACAGGACACCTATAGGAAGCCAGCTCCATTCTCCACTACATAACAGCTTTTTTTGAAGAACTATGTTCGGTGCTAAACCTGAAACTAGTTGTAATCTAGATGAAAATTTTTATATAAATTTTATTTATTCCTTTTGGTTAAATATAGCAATGCTGATTCCAAAGTGCAGAAATACATAATGTTTGCCACAAGATAGTAGTTGTATAGTTTCTCAGTTCAAACAACATACACACAAGGAGGAAAACTTCCAGAAATTTTAACATAACAAAAAAGTTATTTACATATGGAAAAATGAGATAAGTAAATATGAAAATATTCTCAGAGGTAAAGAAATCAAGCTTACTCCATAAATATTTTTGAATAATAACAACTAAAGCCAGAGTTGGGGGAGATAGTGAAGTAGAGAGGAGCTACTGTGCACTCCAGGGTCTTATGTATATATTTGAACCATTGCTGTCTCTTTAAAGTAAGGGAAAATATTGAAAGTAGAAAGGCTTCAATTCATGAAAACAAACAAGAAGGAAAGTCTGCAGGATTCAAAACAGTATACAAAGACTTCACATGATGAACTGGCTATAGGGAAACGCTGGTGTCAGAGAAAACTTAGAAAAGAGATATCTATGTATATATAGGTGCTTTATAATTAAATCATTACATTGAAATGTAACACAGTTATCACATGATCAGTAATAAACAGGAACTTGACATTGTTTCATGTCTAATTTCTTTGGGATATATTTTACCTGTAGATATGTGAAAGGTTAAAAACACAACAGTAATAGTATTTTAAAACATTGTCATAAAACTATTTCACAGTTCATTCTAACACAGCACATTTGAAGTAACATTGCCTACATACTTCTTTCTTAAATTCTCTTGATTAGGAGACGTCTGCTCAGGTAATTTGAGGTGGATGTTCCTTTTCCCAACATTCAACTAGTACAGGTTTGCAATATTCCCGTGCTAGAAATCTTCACTGAGGCAGAGCATCTGTCTCTGCAGCCTGCAGCATTTTACAAGAGTTTATCACTGGCACAATAACCACGCTATACTGGAAGTAGATGGACAGTCTAAAATACAACTGCACAGCATATTGACAGATAAATATGAGAGTAGTGAAAAACAAAGATGTAATATTTCCCAGCATAAACACTTCTCTAGGTAGAACATACGCGAATATGTGTGCGTGCGTGTGTGCGTGTGTATATGAGGGTGCACGTTATAGAACTATACACAGTAATTGTCCTTTAGGCCATATGTATCAGCTAAAACTTTATGTTCTAAATCAGCAAAAAGTAGATATGCATGTGTGCATGTGTGTGCATAAATTTATATATATACACATATGTATACAGTTAAAATCTTTGGTTATTTCTTTAACTTAGTTTATGTTTCATATAATCATGATATTATAAGAATGACTCCAACAAATAGTTTATGCTCAAAATAATCTCAGAAAAGGAAGCACGGCTATTTTTACTTCAAAGTTTAAGGCCTGGAAGATACAAAAGGAAGAGGTAAAATGCTTAAAATTCCCCAGGAAGTCTGCACGGATCTAGGAACAGAAAGAGCCAGGACTCCTGAGCTCCAGTACTGAAGCTGTGAAAAAAGTATTCTTGATCCTTGATGCACAGGGAACATAGGCTATGTGACTATAAATATATCTGTGCAGTGGTCATATTTGACTTACAAAAGTCCACCTGGTATGTATAAAACATTTTTTTTAAAAATCTTTTGATGAATCTAAAAAAATAATCATAACGATTATTCAGAAATTAAGGGTCAAAACATTAAGAAAGAGACTGATCATAAACTAGTTATTTTTGTGGTAGACTAACTCCTAAACGTTCTATTCCACTTAAAGACATTATTGAGCAAGCACTGCAAAACCTTCTCAAAAGAACAATTCTAGCCACAAAACGCTGCTTTAAACTATGTCTGTTTCTTTTAACACAGTAATGTAATAGTAACTATATATAAAAACTGGAAAACATCACATGACATCAGCTTTATTAACATTTAGTATAACTGAATCAGTAACACCTCAACACCCTGTGTAGCCTAGAGTTGTCGTACCATTTGTTTATATTTGAGATGATTACAAATAATGAAGAACGAGCTTCTATATTCTTTTGTTGCACAAAGTGTATAAACTGTTGCAAGTGAGTGTTTTTAATTGCCTTAAAGTTGGGTGAAGAACAACACTATGTGAAAAAAGATATCTTTATACAGAGTCCTGAGATGTTAGATTGGTGAAAAGCTATCTTAATGGTGTCAGCGACAGAAATCTCATCGGTAAGTAATAGTTGAACTCCTTGTTATCGCAGCAGTTCCACAGCAGAAGTTGTATTTGTCTAGAACTGCTAAACTGCTTTCACCTTTTTTTCATAAAGTCATCTTGAACACATTTTTATATAATTTAATAGAAAACAAAATTTTAAGTAATTTTTTTTCATTTAATAGAAAACAAAATTTTAAGTAATATTTCTTTTCACTTTAGAGGCATTGAGGAAGAAAAGAAATGTAAACCTACAGAGGAATTGTTCTAAAAAGATAACGACAACTGCATTGGTAGGTAATGTGGCAGATACTCTTAGATGACTAAAGAAGGGATGGAGTATATTTCTCAGGTAAAAATAAAGGGGAATACCACAGTTACAGAGGAGAGAGAATCTGTTTAAAATGGCATATATTTTAGAGTGGATCCGTGCTGAAATAAGGCAAATGAAATTATGCAGCCTGTCTGTCAATGCCACTTCCAAACAACCCAAAGTTAGTCTGCAAGGTGGATAAATTTCAACTTGAAATTATTAAGCTCCTACATAGCTCCTATTGGGTTATGAAAACCTGGTAACTTTTCATTTCTATTTTTCCCTCACAGATGGGAAATATTCAAATTGGTACCCATAGTAAAGGAAGAGCAGATTCATTTCAAACATTATCCTTTCTGTTTGGCAACACCTGCATGGCCAGTAAACACACGTGTAATAGGTCTGGATTAACAACGTGCTGTCTCTTGCCCAGACTAATATAAGTGGGGGAAGATATCGAGGAGTGATGAAAAGTGCTGTGAACTGGAGATGGGATAGGTGATACAAAAGAGAGAGGCATGCGATGACAGGGTGATACTCAAAGTGTCATACTGAAAGAGGGTTGGTAGGATCACAAAGGGCATATCACGCAGCAGCTTTGCTAGGTGCAGGGGTATCAAGAGGAAGATGACTTGGGACAAAATACTCAGAAAAATTCTAGCTACTAGAGTTCATTAATTCTGCTCATCTCAGAAAATTGTTACTATCCCAAATTATCTTTAGACAAATACGAAGCATGCAATAAGCTTACAGTGAAAAACTTACATATTTTAATTACGAAGGAAAAAAAGGCAAAGGTTTACCTGGGGAGATGAAGGACTAAAAGTCACATTGATGACAGATTCTGTGTGCCCTCCCAACTTATGTGAAAAGGTGCTTGAACGCATCTCATATATGTAAGCCTGAAGAACAACAAGAGATAATACTTTCACCTTAAAGATATATATAACAAGCTAGGAGCACTAAGTTATAGTATAGGACAACTAAAGATTCAGTCAACAGAGACTTTATAAATGTTTCATAACTGCTAAGCAGATATAAATGTCATTGACATCTTAGCAGAGATTTATATAATTCAGGAAATTTTAGTACATACAAATAAGTTAACCCAAATGAAAACATGATTTAGAGAGAGCAACGCAACGTTTTTCCCTTAAATAAATAAATAAACGTTAAGTATATTTCAAATAGACACTCAGGTTAAAAATGACTTTTTAAAATGTATTTTTAAGGACGTTCTTTAGAATTTAACCTTTGTACTTTATTTTTAGTAGAAATATGTAGAAAACCATCACTTTGATGTCTAAATTTGAAAACTGTTACGTTTGTCACTATATTATATCAACTTCTTCAATTTCTACATATTTCTTTGCAGCTTTTAATTGAATGGTATGAAATTCAATCACAAATCAATAAATATTAAGAGTGACACAATAAGAAAAAGCATACTGCATGTCTTTGCTTCTTAAAGAAAAAAAAGCCACAAAAGAGAAAGTACTTTCCAAAGAGTAAATTAAATTCAGTAGCAAAAGAATTATATTCTTATTGGTACAGCCTCAAACAACGGAATAGAGCCAATACAGAAATATATTAAGAAAACAATCTAAAATTCAGCAAAACCCATAGGCATACTGATACTATGAAAACATTTGGGTTGTGTTACTAAACAAGCATTATCTCATGTAAGCAGAAAGGGAAAAAACATTTTAATAAATTCTGTAGTATAGGTTTTCCACATATAAAACAATTTTAAGAGTCAAGTGCTACAAGGCATATCAAAAAGATACATAAAATACATAGACAACATGCAGAAGTATTGGTACGTTACAGATAAAATGTGTATCTCAAAGGAATTAATAAGTTGTAAGTTATGCAAAAAAAAAAAAAAAGCCAAAGATAATAACCTGAACTCTACAATTGCAATAGCAACTGAAATGTTCCATTTTCCTTATTAAATCTCTGCAGTTATGACTATGGATATGGAATTCAAAATATTTCACAGCACTGCCTAACACACACTAAACCAAACTGTGCCTAGACAGTATTTCAACAATATATTATCCTGTAACTTGTCCTAACTAGCTTTTGCTGATAGTATCCTAAGATGAGTTTAATTGCTCAGACCCAGGGCAATTCAGTTTACCCTAGCAGACAGCAAACTACTACAAGATATACGTGCTAAAATCTTGTGGATTCAAATGACAGTCTTCTGGATTAATGAAAAGATTCATGGATCAATGCAGCTCCTGAAAAACGCTCAAACGTTTCTCACTCAGAAAAGAAATCTTATTAGCCTCCTCCAAGGAGTCTCTAATCCAAACCAGCACTGAAGAAATAGTGGATAGTCCTAACTTCATGTCAAATCTTCCATTCATGACTACATTCACAGAGAAGCAAACGAAAAGGCCAACTATAAATCTACTTAATTGCATTCAGTATTATATAGCTTGAATATTCTGGATTCAGTCCAGGATACGGAATTAAAACCATCTACTGGCATCAATGAAGTACCTAAAAATGGACAGAGAAGAAGTTATCCATTTTTAACCTCTGGATCTTTTGTAGCATTCCACACAGTTGTTGCCTTATTAACTGGGGAAAGCAGAGTCCAGAGTAACGTGTTAAAATCATTCTGTCCTTCCTAAAAGGATATAGAAAACGCTTGTTAATGGGAAACTCTGCCTCAAACTGTAAGACCCCTTACCTACTTTTTTAACATCTCAGGGAACTAGTCAGAACAAGTATGTGATTGCTAGAATATACAAGCTGCAATTTTGTGTATTAAAACATGATGACCATACCACAACTACTATGACTAACACTTCTTGGGAGATGATCAGTTCCCACGGGAACAGACATATAAGGGTAACAAGATAACAGTGATATAACAACACAGAAGAAAGCATTCTGAAGTGTTTGTAGACAACAAGTTGTTTTCTCTCATGGTAGGTACAAGGCCATATATTAGTAAATTTATTCTGTACATGGGAGTACTGTATTCTACATGTGAAGTTTTCTATTCAGAAACAGCACATCTAATGTTTCTAACGGTCTCCAGTTAGTCCTAAGATGCTGCTTCATTGGTATAAAAAAATTAAGAGATAGGGTTGGTTATCTACCTCATATGCTAAATAGATTATAATAATGCAGCGTAATAAGGCTTAAATAGAGAAGGTTTTAGAAAAATTCTACCGTAATAGTACCCTTCAAAAATTCCCTTGTATTATAGGCTATAAGAGCACATCCATCTGCTCTCCTCCTTTGACAACACTGGCTCTCCACTCTTCGTTTTGGTGATACTATATCATGACTCAACTAATATCAAAATCATCAGATGCCGATCCCCTTGTGGTATTTCAGTACCTGCAATATCAGCTTTGTGCTCTTGTCAACACTGCCAAGCTTGGTCACACTGCGTACCCCCTGGCCCTACTGCCCAGACTTCCCACAGACCTTCCTTCCAAGAACAGGGGTAACTCTAGCAACAGCCTTTCTGCTCCAACAAAGATGGGGTGTAGGGATGCAGGCAGGTTGCACTTCATCACTCTGCTCAGTGCAGAGCAGAGCTCAGTGCACATGCACATACTATTAGTGGGAATCCATAAGTTTCAAGTAAACGGATGAGAGGGGCGATGCTGCTGGGGTTAGGAGTCGATATTCCGTGGAGGTTCCAGAAAGGAAAGGAGTACATTGAGGGAGAGGAGAGCAAGAGGCATTACAAGCTGTCTCCAGAACAGGACGTCCCTCCGTGTCTATTCATGAGATTCATGAGAACATGGGGAGATCATCCCTGCCCCCCCCCCCCCAAAATCCTGTGGACCTCTTGTCAAAACAGTTTAATGCTATCACAATACTCAGTAATGCCATGACACTTTTTAGGTGTTTGCAACATGAAAGATTCAAAAGCTATTCCTTATCCCTATTGTACACATGTCCCTGCTCTTTGGAACTGCAGGAGTGACAAAACAGGACAAATATGTCATGGCATGTTGCTTACTACACTACAGAACGTCATTAGATATAAAATAGAAATGAATGAGGAAAATACTGGAGACAATAAAATCATCCCTGAATTCAGGTATTTGGTATGAAGCGTAAGTCCTCTGGACTCTGCACACCTGACATATGAGGAGCTAGTGAAATGTACATGAAATGTTAAATCTCTTACTGCAAGTGATTACTTCCTGTCACAGGCTAGGGATAATTACTCTGCAGTTCCAAGTTATTACTCCGGAAGTTATCATTCAGACATGGTGAAGTTCCCCTACGTCTTCATGCTTCCAGTACCAACGTATTAGATGTGTCATTTCCATTTCAAATGTCATCTCTGCTCACAAGTTTTGATTATATATCAAGTACAGAAATATTACTGTTTTCAAGCAAATGCCTGTGAATCAGGAAACAGCTGTCAATAAATTAGTGAGGGGGATGCGCAGTAGCAACTGAAGACATTGACAAGATGAAAATAATCCTGCTGGTATTAACTGATGCTTTGTCATTAGTTCCTAACTGGGGATGCACTCCCACATTAAAGGGAAAGCATGGTACAGGCACCTCTGGTGAAGCCCAAGCTAGTAAAATTTTGCCAGGCTTAATCAAACTTGAAATCTACATGTGTACTGTCAAAACCAGGGAAGAATAATCAAACTTTCCTTGATGTGATGTGGTACTGAAGCAATTTTAGGATGCACACATTTATCATCCTCTGTCACTGCCCCAGCTACTGTTGCTCAGCAAAACAAGGAACCATGAGCAATGCCTGCATCAGTTCTTCAGCTCATACTAAAACCAATCTTAGGCAGAGAGGTGTAGGCAGCAGACAGGACTTTGATTTTTATCATTCACTGTCACCTTTGTTCCTTCTGACCCCAAATTGTCTTACCTTTTTTTCCTTTTTTTTTTTTTTCTTTTTTATTCTTTCCCTCTTCAAAACTGTGGTGATCCTAATCAGGAGACTATGGTACATCGAGGAGTTAGTGATCCACATAATAGTTAACCTGAGCAGGTGCCAGCCTGTGCTGTGCTATGCAGCACATATAGCTTGGCTGGAGGATAAACTTAGCCAGCTAGTTGTAATGGAGGAGCCTGTAGGCAGGTCCAACTTGGTACCAGCAATTACACCACCTGCACGTCCTTGTCTTTACCTTAAAGTGAAGCAGCAAGTTCTCACGTGAAGCTCCTTTTGTTTGACAGGAGAAATGATGAATAAAATTGTTTTCTTCTAAAAAAAAAAAAAATCCTATAAGAGCTCTAAGGACCAAAATACTCGTGAACCTGTCCATGGATGGGATCTGCACTGTGTGCCATTCTGTGCCCTGAATGCAGGTCCACCCGATGCTGCATAGCTTGGGGTTTCCAGCATTTGAAGGAACATAAGATTATTTATTCTCGTTTTCCCTCTTGTGTTAGCTCCAATAAATGATATTTTAAGTAACATGGAGTCTGAGCACCTTTTTTACCGGGTTCATAATGAACACTAGTCCCAGTGCCTTGAACGAGTGCACAACAAAGCCTGCTCTCCTCCTTCCCTTTCATAGAAGTAGGTACAAACAAAAAGAGAAGTCAAGGAGTCAAGAGCACAAAACACCGTGAATCACAGATCTACAGGGTCTTCCAACAGGTTTTGAGCCAAGAAGAAATATGAGTCCATGTTTTAACTATGAGAACATATCATAGGCAGGTTAGTGAAACTGAACATTTTCCATCGTAATTCAGTGGCTTATAGAACTTTGCCAAACTTAAAAAATAATTTCCCATTCCAGACTCTCAGTTCTGTTTTAATATGAGGAGGAGCACGTTCATTTTTGGCTTAATGTCTAGGTCCAAGTTCCTCTCTGTAAAGTAGATGTGATAATATTTCACTGTTTTTTTGAAGATAAACCCATGCTTGTGAAACACAAGC